TACCATGAGTTATTGCAAAAAAAAAAAAAAAACTGCAACAAAGTCAAACGCCATAATTTTTACATTTCTATTCAATTTTATTGAATGAAAGCAAAACATTTCAAAAATAGCATCAAATTTTAGAATAAGTTTAGATTTGTTCGTTCACCTTTGGCACGAATTATGGCCTTCAAACGGCTAATGAAACCGTCACACGCTGCCCGAATGTTCGCGTGCCCAAGGCTTTAATACGCCCTCCAGAATATTGTCGTGGTAATATTCGGCATTTATTCTGATGCCACGGTCGATTCATACGAGCGGAGAGCGACCATAGGCTGTTATGGCGGCCCACACGATCACCATGACCGGTGCTTGAGTTCTGGTGGCCAACCGAAGGTGCACATTTTCAGCTGACCTCTTTGTTTGTTTACAAACTGCTGGACAACGAATGTTTTCTCATCGGAGAAAACCAAATTCGGCAGTTCACCACTTTCGCCCAAGCGAGGCAACTTTTTAGCTCTTTTGTGTCTATTTTCTTTCTGTTGCGCTGTAAGTTCCTGCACTTTATGGAATTTCAATGGCCTTACCCCGAGCTAATTTTTCAATATTTACCAAATGTAATATTGTTATATGTTCAGCTCACGAGCCACTTCGACGTGGGTTTCGATCAAGTCGCTTCTTTACTTTTCGAACCATTTCTGCTGATGTTGCTGTTTTCTTCCGTCGACTTCCTTGAAGTCGGGCTACGAGCGATGGTACGAGACACAAAAGATTTATTCACATTTAAATGCTGGAGTGCTCTAACGATAGCCACTTGTGTTTTCCCGGCAGATATAAAGAAATCACACTATCACGCTTGAATTCCAACACGAATAACTTTTTTTTTCTGGAAAGTTCTCACCAAAATGCTTTAGTACGCTTGTAAACAATATAATTTTTGCCATATTTTTTCAACGATTTGTCTAAAAATTAGTACTTGTAGGTCATAATGGGTTCTAGCTCCGGTGGCGAAACATTGTATGTATATGTCCACGTTTTGGTGTAGCCCCCATATAACGGTACATCTCGATATTCGGTATTTTGATGCCTCTTGCCACATTTTTCATGAGTTTGTCCAAAAATTGGTTTTTGTAGTTTGCAATGGGTTCTAGTTCCGGTGGCTGAAAATAGTATGTATAAGTCTACGTTTTTGTATAGCCCCCATATAACGGTACTTCCCGATTCGATCCCGAATTCGGTATTTTGATGATCTTTGCCGGATTTGTCTAAAAATTAGAATTTGTAGGCCATAATGGGCTCTAGCTCCGGTATGTGTATGTTCACGTTTTTGTATAGCCCCAATATAACGGAACCTCCCGATATTCGGTATTCTACCATTTTGCCACATTTTTCCACGAATTTGTCAACAAAAAATTGAATTTGTGGTTCGTAATGAATTCCAGCTCCTGTGGCGGAACATAGTATATGTAGGTCCACGTTTTCATACAGACCCCATATATAACGATACCCACCGATATTCTGTATTTTAATAATTCTAGTCATATTTACCCACGAAATTGTGGGTATTTAAGAAGATTTGGTAGATGACAATCCTTGAAGTATATAATTGTCTATAGAGATGGTATGGTGTAACGGCCTCACCCACCTAAGTTTAACAGCATTATCCAAAGGGTCTTACTGGCATTTGTAGTTTAAATTGGGACACGTTGGTATTCAGACTTTTGAATAGAAATGTTTTCTTTACCCAAAGGTGGAGGGTATTAAAAGTTCAGGCTGTCCGAACTTAATGTTTTTCATTTGTTTAACGTTTTTTTAGCTCTTAAAAATCCACCTTTACATGTGGTATGTCTATATTTAATTTTTTTTGGGAAACTTCAATAAAAACTTATAACAAATTCAATTGAAAAACATGACAGAAACTTGCAAAAACTCTAAAATTGCAATTTTGACGCGCTTCGAATACTAAATTAGTGTCAATTCCGCTACCGTCCTGTTGTACAAGGGCCATACCAAAACATGACCCCCCCACTTCATGCATTTCTGTCCCGAGTTTTCGTAATTAATCAGAAACCCTAAATATTAAACAATGCTGTCTGTGATCTGACTATCTGAAAACGTGGACCGATGTATCCTATATCTGTAAAACATGCAGACAAAAAATGTTTATAATCAAAATTTTGGTCACCTAGGTCTATCCCTTAGAGTGTTTATCGGAGCAAGTGTAGGAAGCCCTAAAGAATCCTATTGACCTCACAACACATTGTAAACGAAAAAAACATACCAAAATCTAAATCTTCCCTAAACGCCAGGAATTAATATATATTAATAGCGCATTTAAGGGTTAAGGCGTACCTTATGTGAATGCATGCAATGTTCTAAAAAAAAAAAAAAAAACAGTAAAGAAAGTCTTAAAGTCGGCCGGGGCCGACTTTATGATACCCTACACCACTTTGCTAATTTAGTAGAGCTCCACGTAACAATTAAAAGTTTTTATGATAACGCTATGATAATAATTATAATTTAAAGTTCAAAGGACTAAATATGCCGAAACATTTGTATCTTTTAAATATATATATGGGAGCTATATCCAAATCTGAACCGATCTCGATAAAATTTGGCAGAGATATTTCTGTGCTGTATTTGATATATTTCTCTGAATATCGTTGTTACGGAGTGCATATTACGGTTGTGGATAACAAATATAACAAATCGGATGAATAATATATATGGAAGCTATAGCTATATCTGAACCGATCTTCACCAAATTTGACATACTAGCTTCTAGACTCAATTCGATCGTAAGTGCCAAATTCCATCCCATTTGGAAAAATATTAGACGTTTGGTGCACAATAAAAGGTAAATCGGACGAAGTTATATATGGGAGCTATATCCAAATCTGAACCTATCTCGATAAAATTTAGCAAATGTATTTCTGAGCTATATTTGATACATTCCCCCAAATATTGTTGTTGTAAAGTGCATATTACGGCGGCGGAGGGCAAAAATAACAAATCGGATGAACAATATATATATGGGAGCTATAGCTATATCTGAACCGATTTCGATCAAATTTGGCATACATATTTTCAGGTCTAATTTGGGTGTATATGCAAAATTCCATACAATTCGGGTTGATATTACACGTTTGGTGCACAAAAAATGCAAATCGGGCGAAGATATATATGAGAGTGTTTATCGGAGCAAGTGTAGGAAGCCCTAAAGAATCCTATTGACCTCACAACACATTGTAAACGAAAAAAACATAACAAAATCTAAATCTTCCCTAAACGCCAAGAATTCATATATATTAATAACGCATTTAAGGGTTAAGGCGTCCCTTATGTGAACGCATACAATGTTCTCAAAAAAAAAAAAAAAAAACACTCACATGTTGTTTTAGGCAGAAAGTGTCAAAAGAAGTAATATTCTACAAAAAAAAAAAAAAAAAAAAAATCACTATCCATCTCAGAATTAACCATATATCTAGTATCCATCTCAGAATTAACCATATATCTAGGCATAATTGTTTTTAAGAAAACTAAATACGAAAGTGAAAACTATGCGTTTTCAATTGTTACTGCTAATTTAACACGTTCCCATTGAAATTGCCGATAGACACTTTTTACTTTATTTTTACGTCTGAAGTACCGCCTTCACCAGACTTGCCTTACCTCCGCGACTTTTCCCATTTCCAAAATTGAAGCTACTGAGCATTGTAGTGCAACATTCGCACCCATTTATTGAACTTTACATTGTAAACGAATGTTCACATATATTTATTGAATGCAATAGAAATGAAGAGGTCATCAACATCTATTGATGCGGGTTCCATTACTTGTTGCTAGATATACAAATATATGTGAAAGAATCCCCACTTCATAGAAGTTTGGTGGTTTCCTTTTAAAGTGAGTCAGACCGTAGTTCCCCTGGGTAAAGAAAATGTTCTGTTATAGGACCCCTGATTTATGATTACAATGGTGTACGTCATTTGATACGGATTAAACATAGATATTTTTATACCCTCCACCATACATAGTATGGAGGGTATATTAAGTTCGTCATTCCGTTTGCAACTCATCAAAATAATAATTGTATACACAACAAAGTATATATATTTTTGATCAGCTTAAAATTGTAAGACGATTTAGCTCTGTCCGTCCGTCTGTCTGTCCCTTTGTTGTTATCACGCTAGAGTCAAAATGAATTATGATAGGAAGCTATAACTTTGTACAGATCAGTCTTTTGTTCGCGCAGGCAGATAAAGTTTGAATAGGTGCTAGAACGATCTACGATATTATATAGCCCCATTTAACGGTACCACCGATATTCGGTATTTTGATGATTTTATCTGCACTTTTCAGTGTAATTGTCTGAAATTCTAATCAAGGAGTTTTTTGTGAATACTTTACCCCCTGGGAGATAATTGTCTATATAGGTCCACGACATCGTATAGCCCCCATACAACGCTACCCCCGATATTCGGAATTTTAATGATTTTAGAGACATTATACACCGGAATTGTTTCAAATTTCGTATTTGAAAATCCTAATAGGTACTACATTCTGTGTTAGAAAATTGTCTTTGCAGGTCCAGGTCTTCGTATAGCCCCCATATATCGGTATTTTGTCATGATCTGTTCGATCTAACTCGCAATTGTTTATGGTTCAGAGAAGGATACTGACGCCAAGTCCCATCTTATACCTACTTCCTTGTTATATATCGAAGGACATTAAAATAATCTCTTCATTTGGGTATAAATTATGTTTTCTCATATAAATTTCATCCAGAACCGTAATGTGCAACAATTGAATGGGGGAATTTATCTAAATATTACAATTCTCGTTAAACGTATACAGTTGCATTGATGAGACACGAGTCATGAATAATACCAATCTTAATTTATACTATTATGGCCAAGAGTCGAGTCGAGTTCATATAAAACACCAGGGATGTGAGCTAATTATTTTAGTTATAATAAAGCAAGCTAATTATTCAAACAATCGAGACAACGGATCTTAAAAACCTAACGCTAAAAAATCGGAACATGTCGGCATATATAATCCGTCAAAAATTATATACCGTATTTTTTATATTACTTTTTTCGATAGTAAAAATTGCCAATGGTAGAACGTACAAACCATGTGCAGTTCATACACACAGTGGCAGTTGTATTGCCTTGGGAAAGTGTCCCATACTCTATGAACAATTTAAAGTTTATAATGAATTGACAAGGGATGAAAAGGATTTCATTAAAAACTCACAATGTGGATTCGATAGCAATGGGGAGGATCTTGCAAGTCGAGTGCTTGTTTGCTGCCCCCGCAACAGCGACCAGTGTGGTGTAGTTGAAAAAGTGTCCAATAGTGGAAGTGATGGCAATAACAGAACTGAATCTATGATAGCCATACCAGACGATGCATATCCATGGATGGCCGTGATCGAACATGAGAGCACCGCAGGTATGAAGTATTTCTGTCTCAAAGGCTACAAAATAGATATCTGGCACACTCCTAAGATGATTGATATTTAAATGTTCGCATGTAATGGTACCCATCATAGAAAATCAACATAGTTCCTGTTTTGACATAGGTGCTATAAATTGATATAAGTAGATTTTAGTCATATTGAAGGATACATTTCACGGCTGAATTTGATGGTTTCAGCCTCCATGATCCGGTATATTTTAAGCGGTTGGATGGTAACTATCATTCTCTCCAGCAACGTGGCTCCAATTTAAAAATTTAGAATTATAATTGATAAAACAACTCAATCGAAAAAGACACAATTCAATTATTAGAGCGGCAAAGGTCGAATAATTCCAATGGAAGTATTTCATAATTTGGAATAGTCCCAACTAAACACTTTTCTGTACCATCTATATTTTGCTACTTAATTTTTATACCCTACACCACAAGGTGGTCAGGGTATTATGTCTTTGTGTTCAGATATAGCTATAGCTCCCATATATATTGTTCATCCGATTTGTTATTTTTGTCCTCCGCAGCCGTAATATGCACTCTGTAACAACAATATTTGGGGAAATATATCAAGTGAAGCTCAGAAATACCTTTGCTAAATTTTATCGAGATCGGTTCAGATTTGAATATAGCTCCCATACATAACTTCGTCCGATTTACCATTTATTGTGCACCAAACGTCTAATATTTGTCCAAATGGGATGGAATTTGGCACATACGACCGAATTTAGTCTAGAAGGTAGTATGCCAAATTTGGTGAAGATCGGTTCAGATATAGTTATAGCTCCCATATATATTGTTCATCCGATTTATTGTATTTGTTACCCACAGCCGTAATATGCACTCCGTAACAACGATATTCAGGGAAATATATCAAATACAGCTCAGAAATATCTTTGCCAAATTTTATCGAGATCGGTTCAGATTTGGATATAGTTCCCATATATATTTTTATCCGATTTCAAATTAATTTCGCACCAAATGGGCAATACAAGTCCGAATTGAAAAGATACAAATGCTTCGGCGTATTTAGTCCTTTGAATTTTAAATTATAATTATAATCACAGCGTGTATGATTGAATTCTCCCATAAAAACTTTTAATTATTAAGTGGAGCTCAACTAAATTAGCAAAGTGGTGTAGGGTATCATTAAATCGGCCCCGCAAGACTTTAGGACTTTCTTTACTGGTTAAAATCCCAAAATATTCTTCCCAGATGGTATATATTGGTAGCAAGAGTAAAATTTTATATCGGTTAAGCCGAATAGAAATGCACCCAAAATATAGCGGTACCAGTTATATAAAAACGTGATCCTAATAACTAATTTTAAGATTTCAAGCTTCGCCAAATACTATAGCATCATTTAGTACTTTTTAGTTGTTTTTTAGTGCGCATTTCCAAAATCACCTCCAAATTTCCACCCCACTCACTAACAGCTTTCAAGCACTATCCTTCCAACCATTGGCAAATTTAGTGCCATTTTGAACTTTTTGTACACTTTTAGTACGTATTTACAAAACTATCTCTTAATTTTGACCCCAAACACCAACAGTGACCTCAATACTAACATTTCAAATTGTCCGCTCCATCCTCTCATCCACAACCAAATTGTTCTAAATTAAGTGCCATTTAGTACAATTATTGCCCTTAGTGCAATTTTGCAAAACCACCTCCTTATATCAACCTTACTTCTCAAACATAATTCTTACACCAAATGTAAAGATTTAAGTACAATCCGTTATCATGATAGTACTTTTAGCAAAGACATAGAAGAATAAAGATGGGACAACACAGAGTCCAAATATTGTCATCAAATGGAATTAGCCCTGTTGTTACGATATCATAACAACATAATCACCAATGTTAAGTTGTTTTAACAGCAAATGCAATTTTCAAACGTCAGTGAAATGCGATTTTTAGTTCAAATTTTTGGTTTACAGAAAATTTCATTCTTAAAATTGCTCTGTAAATATAATTTTTATGATAACATCTCACTGTTGTGAGCAGCGCCTCTATATATTTTTCACATTAACTATTTTTCCATTATGCATTTTGTCCAGTCTTTACCATTTCAGGTCTTTGAATTGTGTTGTTTATATTAGCAAGCCTCTGTCATGAGATCTTAATCTTGATAGTATAGACACAAACCAATTTCTCAGAATGCCCTTTGTCTAGTCTTTACCATTCTAGGTCTTTGACTTGTAGTCCGAATTAAAAAAAAAACCTTTGTTACATCTATCTTACACCCCATAACCGACCCCCATGCCAACCCATCATACCAACACCTCACAACATTCTCGAATCGACTCACTCCAACCGTTCAATAACTTTCTTTTATTAAAAACTTAAATGGGACTACAACGAACTTTCGGGAAAAGAAATTACCAATAGGTGCAGCCGCGTTCCGATTTTAGATAAATCGAAAAAGTGGTTGTGGTCATGTTTTTTTTTTTTTCTCAAAAATCCAAGTTGAGGTTTGACTACCCTTAAAAAAGAAATATTCAAATCGGTCCAGCCGTTCGTAACTGATGCAATTACCAATGAACGACATTTGATTATGTAATATATAGATTTGCGTTAAGTCCTTTATAAGAGACTTAATGATTAACCTGTTGAATTGAATCCCCACTTCTTCTTCTTCTTTTCATTACAGATCCAAATATACGTGAATATCTATGCGGCGGCAGTTTAATAAATTCAATGTACGTTCTGACAGCAGCTCACTGTTTAACCGATGCAAAGTGGAAGGCTAGGCGTGTATGGTTGGGTCATTGGGATTCAAACAGCCCCAATGCCATGGAAATGGAAATAGAAGAGAACATCATTCATCCAAAATATGGCCAAAACTCCTATCATGATATTGCCCTTGTACGCATGAAAACCGCTGTAGAAGTTTCCAAATTTATACGCCCAATTTGTTTACCCTTAGACGGCCACCTAAATTCAGTGAAGCTAACAGATACCTTAGCGGAATTTGCCAGTTGGGGACCAGAGCAAAAAAATTTCGGCATCAAGACCACATCCAAATTTAAAATGTACCTAAAAGTTTGGGATACGAGATTGTGTAGAAAGAGGTACATAATGTCAAGACGTGAAATTAACTTGGATTATGAATTGTGTGCTGGTGGTGAAGAGGGTGTGGATACCTGTAGGGGTGATTCAGGCGGCGCTCTTATGCATTCCATGCATAAAGCTTATCGTGAAAAGGTTTATTTCGTTATTGGTGTAATGTCGTTTGGCATAAAACAGTGCGGTTCCAAGGGTTGGCCCAGTGTTAGCATAGAAGTTCAAAGTCATTTGCCATGGATATTGTCGAATTGGAGACGAACAACGTAGGAAGATAAACAGTATTTAATGTCGTCGTCTTTCAAAAACTGTGATATTGTATTATAAGTTTTTATTACTATATATATTTTAATTTATTTTAAATTTTAAGTTAGAAACTATCACAAAGAGACTGTACAATGAGAACTTTTTACCTCATATTATGCAAATAAAAAATATAAGAAATACAATATAAGAATTTGATAAACAAATGTCTCAGAAGACATGCCATTTCATCAGTCCTGCAAGTTTGAAATGTATTAGGTACTCTTGAAAGCTATTTAAAAATTGTGCTCTTTTTGGCGTGCCTTTCTTTTTCAAGTATTTTTAGGAATATACTATCGTTGGTGTAGTCCATTTGAAATTTGTTACCATTTAATCAATTTTTCACCAATTTTTGTCTTTTTGGTACCAAAATATCTGATTCACTTTTCAGCACAATTATTGTTATCAAGAAGTACATTTCTACCTATTGCTACTAAAATTATGACAGCAGATTATCACTGCCTTGCAAGTTTCCAGGAAAATATTCCCGTTCACCGGAGTTACAATGCTACCGATGCATTGTTCCATATACAAAATTTTGAAAATGTTGCCCTTACCCATGTAGTAATTGCGACGATTGGGCAGCAATACACTATTTATACCCTACACCACAAGGTGGTCAGGGTATTATGTATTTGTGCATTTGTTTGTAACAGGCAGAAGGAATCGAGATAGACCAATAGTTCCTTTTGATGATCTGCATAGAATCACATTCTGAGTCGATTTATGCATGTCCGTCCATCTGTCCGTCCGTCCGTCAGTCTGTCCATGTATTTTTGTAAACAAATTACAGGTCGCAATTTTGCACAGATAATTTGTTTGGCCCAAGGACGAACCCTATTGAAATTGGGAAAAATCGGTCAAAATTTAGATATAGCTCCCATATATATCTCCGTCCGATTTGCCTTTTATTGTGCACCAAACGTGTAATATCAGCCCGAATTGTATGGAAATTTGCATATACACCCAAAATAGGCCTGAAAATATGTATGCCAAATTTGATCGAAATCGGTTCAGATATAGCTATAGCTCCCATATATATTGTTCATCCGATTTGCTATTTTTGTCCTCTGCAGCCGTAATATGCACCCTCTAACAACAATATTTGGGGAAATAAAATCAAATACAGCTCAGAAATACAGTTGCTAAATTTTATCGAGATCGGTTCAGATTTGGATATAGCTCCCATATATAACCTCGTTCGATTTACCTTTTATTGTGCACCAAACGTTTAATATTTGGCCAAATTGGATGAAATTTGGCACTTACGACCGAATTGAGTCTAGAAGCTAATTTGTCAAATTTGGTGAAGATCGGTTCAGATATAGCTATAGCTCCCATATATACTGTTCATCCGATTTGTCATGTTGTTGCCGGCCCCGGCTGACTTTAAGACTTTCTTTACTGATTTTTATTATATAAAAAAAAAAATTTTGAAAAAAAACTGTATATACAGGGTGGGATAAAAAAACTGCAACAAAGTCAAACGCCATAATTTATTTCCGACATTTTTTGAATGAAAGCAAAAAATGTCGGAAATAGCGTAAAATTTTAGAATACGTTTAGATTTGTTCGAATTGGTCACCTTTAGCACGAATTATGGCCTTCAAACGGCCAATGAAACCGTTACACGCTGCCCGAATGTTGCTCTGCGGTATTTTGCCCCATTCCCGGCGTAGCGCTTGCTTGAGGAGATCGACACTTTGGTATTTTTTAGTGCCAACCTAGCTTTCCAAAATACTTCAGACACAATAGTATCCGGAGATTTTGGTGGCCATTGTGCGCTAGAAATGAAGCGAGGAACCTCATTTTGTAACCATTCTTGGGTGATAATATTCGGCATTCAATGCCTTTACCCCGAGCTCATTTTTCAATATTTGCCGAATGGAATATTGTAATATGTTCAGCTTACGAGCCATTTTTTGGCCACTGCAACGGGGGTTTCCATTGAGCCGCTTCTTTAATTTTCGAACCATTTCTGCTGATGTTGCTGTTTTCATATGCCAACTTCCTTGACGTCGGGCTACGCTACCAATATCATGGTAATGAGCGATGGTACGAAACACAAATATTTATTCACATTTAAATGCTGGAGTGCTCTAACGATAGCCACTTGTGGTTATCTAGCCAAATATAAAGAAATCACACTATAACGCTTCAATTCCATCACGAATGACTTTTTTCTGAAAAATTCTCACCAAAATGCTTTTGTACGTTTTTAAATAATAATGGAATAATTACAACAGCTGTCGGACGAGTGGCTTAGAAATGACAGCAGTTTGAAGTTGGTTGCAGTTTTTTCATCTCACCCTGTATATAGTCAAATGCCATTCGTTGGTATTTATTCATTCATTCTTTAAACTTTCACAATGTCTCGTCATAGTGGACTGCACCCACGTTCCATGGTCTACATATCAAATCATGTAACATTCTGTCTCATCTACTTCGAAACCACATGTGCCATTCATAAGTTCTCTGATGTGGTTGTCTTTAAAAAGTCGATAAGAATTATATTAAAAAATATTTATTGGAGCTATAAATATACCGGACCGAGCTTCGCCAGAAGGAAAAATTCGGTTGAATATGAAAAAAATCTATTCAATTTGGGATGATTTTACGTTTATGTTAGTGGCAGAGGTATTTTCAAGCTCTATCTGATGTTCGGTATCAAATAACTTGTTGTGGAGTGCATATTACGCATGTGAGAGACTTAAAACTCCAAATCGGATGTAACATATATATAGGTGAGCTTAAATGCGTAAAATACACTCCACAATAATGATATTTGATACCGGACATCAGATAAAACTCAAAATAGCTCTGCCAAATTTCATCGATATCGATTTAGATTTTTATATACATTCAATATACGCCTTCCTCCGATTTTATGGTTATTGCCCACCCCAATATAACGGTACTTCCCTTTATTCGTTATTTTGATGATTTTAGCCACATTATTCACCGGAATTGATTGAAATTAGGGGTTTGAAGTTCGTAATGGATACTACAGCCTAAGACAGAAAATTGTCTGTGCGGGTCCACGTCTTCGTATAGCCCCCATATAACGATACCTCCCGATATTCGGTATTTTGATGATTTTAGCTACATTATTCACCGATTTTTTTCAAGTTTCGCATTTAAATATTGTAATGGCTTATGACAAAAGTTACCTATGCAGGTCCACGTCATCGTATAGGCCTTTATATAACGACCACATTCGGCACCGCGTTTTATCTTTGCAAGAATATTATAAGATTTACCATGCAAATTTCATTCAGACATATAATGAGCAACCATTGAATGGGAAAATTTATCTAAAACCACAAATGTGTTCTGGTGTATGAAGTTGCATTTAGGAGACACTGTGAATAATACCAACCTTAATTTATACTACTACCAAAAGCCGAGGACGTATAAAACATCAGGGATGTAAGCTATTTTTTTAGTTATAATAAAGTAAGCTAACTATTAACAACAACGGAGACAACGGTTCTTAAAACCAAGTGCTAGAATAAAATCGCAGCATATCGGCATATATAATGCATCAAAAATTGTATACAGTATTTTTTATATTACTTTTTCTAATAGTAAAAAGAGCCAATAGTAAAACATACAAACCATGTGCAGTTCATACGCACAGTGGTAGATGTATTGCCTTGGGAAAGTGTCCCATGCTCTACGAACAATCTAAAGTTTATAATGAATTGACAAGGGAAGAAAAGGATTTCTTTCCAAACTCACAATGTGAATTCGATAGCAAAGGGGATGATCTTGCAAGTCGAGTGCTTGTTTGCTGCCCCCGCAACAGCGATCAGTGTGGTGTAGTTGAAAAAGTGTCCAATAGTGGAAGTGATGGCAATAACAGAACTGAATCCCTGATACCCATACCAGACGATGTATATCCATGGATGGCCGTGATCGAACATGAAAGCACCGAAGGTATGGAGTGTGAATTGAGATTAAATCAGATTTTAGATTTCAAAATATATTTAAACTCAAAGGTCGTATGAACCTACATAGATTTAAGGAAATGTTTTCATTGACTATAGGGGTCCATACAATTTTAAGGGCAATTGTTATCGTCGAATAGTCTCAGGGGGTATTGAAAAAGTTTGATTGGCCAAAATAGTATATAACAACTCGAAATATTTCAATATATATATTTTTACCTCTATCCGTTCATATAACTCCAATTGGTACCAAATTTAGTGTATTTTAGTAATTTCGGTAAACTGTTGTTGCAAAATGGCCAGGCTTAATTCCTTTATATTTGTTTTTATAAAAACAACGTTTTTTTATTAGTGGATAACGATGGATACGTTTACCAGGGGGTAATTCAGGGAATACCTAGGTTTCGGAAAGAGCCACCAATCCTCATCAGTTCCCTTGGTTTTGTCTGGGATATTCTCCCCAGAAGTTATTTTAAAAATAACTTCTATGACAAAAAATAATTTTTTACCCAAGTGACGTGATCGTAAGCTCAATAGAAGAGGAACCAAAGAATTAAATAAAACTAAAATCCTTCTGGAAAAATCTTCTAAATCTTACAACCGCACTTATAAACATTTACATCTTTCTCCACTTGTTATGCTTTCGTTTACCTGAACGAAGTAGCATAACCATGTAAGTTGGTTTTGTCTGTTACAACAAATCTAGAAAAAATCTTTAGTTTGTTTATCCTACGAAACATCAAAGATTCTCACTATAATTTCAGATTTCAAGGTATTTTCCTTCACCAAATACCAAAGTTTTTAGTACCTATTTCCACAACCACCTCCAAATCTCAACCCTACACACCAGCAGTGACCCTAATTCCAAATTTCAGATTCCAAGCAGTATCCGCACGCAGCACGCAATACCAAATTTAGTTCCATTTATTACTTTTCATTTCTGGATTACAGTCCTGTACTCCAACAGTAATGTTAATTCCAAATTAACCAAAAAGAGTACCATATCTCAATCGTACACTCCAACAGTAATCTTATTTTCAAATTTCAGAATACAAGCTCTATTGGAACGCCTAAATCCAAATTTAGTATAGCTGAGTAAACATAGGTACGACTTTCCCAAACTACCCCCATATCTCAATCCTTCAATCTGACAGTAATCTTATTTCCAAATTTCGTACATAAGTACGAATTTCCAAAATCTCCAACATACCCCAACCCTAAAAGTAATGATAATTCCAAAATCCAGGATTCCACAAGCCCCCCCAGCGGTTCGGCCAAATCCAAATTTTAGTAAATTTGGTAACATTTTGTACACATAAGTACAAATTCCTATAACTACCTACATCATACAATCCAATAGAAATCTTATTTCCACATTTCAGAAGTCAAACTCTACCAAATATCCAAAATTTTATTTGTATTTCATCAATCCAGCTCTACCGGTTTACCTAAATCGAAATTCTACCAAATTTAGTACTAATTAGTACTTTTCGCGCGAGTACAAATTTCGAAAAATACATATCCCAATCCTACACTCCGCCAGCAATGTTAATATCAATTTTCAGAATTGCTGTACCAGATTTAGTACCGTTTAGTATTTTTCGTACCATTCTAGTACGAATTTACGAAAACACTTACCCAACGTTAAAAAAAAGATTCACATCGGCGCAGCCGTTCTTAACTAATGTAATTACCAACGAACGACGTTTGATTTTTTATGTTAAGATTTCAATTGGGTTTTTATTGGAAAACTTTTCAATGAGACGTTTTCGTATAACCTTTGTTCTCTTGAATTGAATCCCCACTTCTTCTTCTTGTCATTACAGATCCAAATATACGTGAATATCTATGCGGCGGCAGTTTAATAAATTCAATGTACGTTCTGACAGCAGCTCACTGTGTAACCGATGCAAAGTGGAAGGCTAGGCGTGTATGGTTGGGTCATTGGGATTCAAACAGCCCCAATGCCATGGAAATGGAAATAGAAGAGAACACCATTCATCCAAAATATGGTCAAAACTCCTATCATGATATTGCCCTTGTACGCATGAAGACTGCTGTAGAAGTTTCCAAATTTATACGCCCAATTTGCTTACCCTTAGACGGCCACCTAAATTCATTGAAGCTAACAGATACCTTAGCGGAATTTGCCACTTGGAGACCAGAGCAAAAAGATTTCGGCATCAAGACCACATCCAAGTTTAAAATGTACCTAAAAGTTTGGGATACGAGATTGTGTAGCAGGAAATACATAATGTCAAGACGTAAAATTAATTTGGATTATGAATTGTGTGCTGGTGGTGAAGAGGGTGTGGATACCTGTAGGGGTGATTCAGGCGGCGCTCTTATGCATTCCATGCATAAAGCTTATCGTGAAAAGGTTTATTTCGTTATTGGTGTAATGTCGTTTGGCATAAAACAGTGCGGTTCCAAAGGTTGGCCCAGTGTTAGCATAGAAGTTCAAAGTCATTTGCCATGGATATTGTCGAATTGGAGACGAACAGTCTAAAATGTTGACTTTCAAAAATTGTGATATTGTATTATACGTTTTTATCCATATATTTATATTTTAATTTTAAGTAAGAAAGTATCACAAAGAGGCTGTATAATAGCAAACTTCTACCTCATATTATGCAATTTAAATTTATAAGAAATACATGAAATATATTTTAAAACAAATATTTTTGGAGGAAGTCTAACGACGTGCTTTTTTCAAGTATTTATGTTGGTGTCATCCAAAATGAGTAATTTTTCACCAGTTGTTCTCTTTTTGGTATTAACAAATGGACAAAATCAATGCAAAAATCGACAATATTAATCAATCAAGTGCCACCACCACAAAGGCTCAAAATTCTGGATAATTATAACTCGTATATCTTATCTCTTTTATCAATTATCTTCAAATTGCACACATCCTAATATTTTTACAAACACAAGATCTGTTGTGAATATGGGATATATCGGTCTACACCTTCTGGTACCTGCCCCACACCGGGGGGCATTGTGTCTAGGATGGTTGGTATTGAAAATGAGATATAGCCCCCATATAGCGGCACATTCCGATATTCAGTATTTTGGTAGTTTTAGCCACATATTTCCACCAATTTGTCTAAAAATTGGTATTTGTAATTCGTTACATATAGGTCCACGTTTTTGCATAGCCCCCATATCAGGGTACCTCTCGATATTCTGTATTTTGATGGTTTTAACCACATTTTTCCACGGATTTGTCTAAAAATTGGCATTTGTAGTTCGTTATGGGTTCTAGCTCCGGTGGCGGTACATTGTATATATAGGTATAGTATAGCCCCCATATAAGGTTACCTCCCGATATTCAGTATTTTGATGGTTTTACCCAAAATTTTCCACGGATGTGTCTAAAAATTGGTATTTGATTATCTAGGTCCACGTTTTTCTTTAGCGTACATATAACGATTATTTTCATGATTTTAGCGACATTATTTAGCGGAATTATTTTGAATTTCGTAATGGGTACTACAGCCAATGGCAAAAAAAATTCGTATGCAGGTCCGCGTCTTCGTATAGCCCCCACATGACGGTACCTTCCAATTCTCGGTATTTTCAAGATTTTTACCGCATTATATACCGTAATTATAACAAATTTCGTTGTAAAGTTCGTAATGAGCACTACAGCCTATGGCAAAAAAATCGTATGCAGGTCCACGTCTTCGTATTGTCCCCATATAACGATTTTAATTTATGTGGTAGTTCTCGATTTTTTTTTTAAATTTTTCAAGTTATTTTCAAATAGTGGAGGGTATTAAAAGTCGTCCCGGCCAAACTTAGCTACTTTTTTCCTTGTTTATTGTTATTGATATTTCAATATCAGTAGTGCTAATGCATCTACCTTTACGTTTCTACCATTCCATTTAATAGGGCGAATTCAACATTACAAAAAAATGTTTTGACATTTAATGGTTCCGTCAGCTGGGCTGATGCGATCTACTAGGTAGATCTGATTTGCTTGCAGGGATTTCGTTATTAAATTTGTTTAACAATCTCTAAAAATGTTTCCTGTGATTTAATAAACGTTCCCTGCCTCGAATGTGGTTGCGTAAAAAAACCACAGAAACAAAGTACCATTCGTTGTTTACATCCTGAACTTTTAATAAATACCACATCCGTTTTTTTTTAACCATAGTCTGATAATTTTTATACTCATTGTTTTAATGACGTAATTAACATTCATCTTTTTATGACGTAAAATTGATCATTTGGTTCTGCGGTTAAAAGAAATAATAATTAATCTGTCGAGGAAGATAAGTTCACTTCTTCTGGTAAATTTAAATGAATCACTTTTGGCACACTTTGGTTTTTCACCATCGTGTGTAAAATTGTCAATATAAGTACACATCATTTACACACAATTAATTGATCGAATTCTCAAAGACAATTTTGAATTTTTATCTATTGCGACTGTTAAGTACCAAATTTAAAACAATTTCGTGGGTAAATGTGACTAGGTGTGTCAAACTCACCGAATATCGGTAAGTACCGTTATATGTGCGCTATAAAAAAAACATGGACCTAGATATTTAATGTTCTTCCACCGTAGCTAGAACCCATTATGAACTACAGCTACCAATTTTTAGGTGAATCCATCAAAATACCTGAAATCGGGGGGACGATATATGGGGGCTATACGAAAACATGAACTTATATGTACAACGCTACGTCAACGGAGCTGGAAGCCATTACGGAATATATGTACAATTTTTTAAACAAAACCGAGAAAAAATGTGACGAAAATCATCAAAAAAAAATACCGAATATCGGGAGGTACCGTTATATGGTACCTACACCAAAACGTGGAACGATATTTTCAATACCAACCATACTAGACAAAATACAAATTTTTGTGCAAAATTTTGAAGCTCTACGTCAAATTATGTGGGCTGCATCGTGATTTTAACGGATTGACGGACATCGTGAAATCGACTTAGAATTTTATGCTGATCATGAATATATATACTTTATGAAAGATTTTATTTTGAAAGATTTTATTATTTATTATTATAATTTATTCATTAATTCGATTCTATAATTTGAACAAAGAAATATTACTAGAAATTGTCATATTCTGTAAAATTTTAAAGAGCTGCTGTATTGACAGGTAATATTTTCTGAAACCCTTTTCGAACTGTAGGTCTAAGGAATTATGTGGGTCATTCACTGTCGGTTTCTATACCCTCATGATAGACCCTACAAAGTATATTTAGTTCAAGATCAGCATAGCGATGTCCGTCTGTTTGTTGTAATCACGATCTTTTTTAGAACCAATTGATTTAGAATGCTAAATTTTGCTCACATATGTACATATTTTGCCAGTTAAGTTCGATCCACATTTTCGTATAGTCCCCATATAACGGTACCTCCCGACATTGACATTTCTTTCCTTTACTAAAGTTTTCGTTTCACATTTTCGTTAAATTCAGTTTGACAACATATGACCAAGAGGGACCTCAACATAAAATTTCATCTCAATCCCATTGCACAATACAAAATTTCAATCTACATCTCTCTATCCTAAACTATAACAGTGATCCAAAATTAGTACCGTTTTGTACTATTCGTTCAGCTATTGTACGCATTTACACGACCAAAGCTCAGCACCAGATAGCAACAGAGACCTAAATTTCAAATTTTCGGATTCCATCTCTAAAATTAACTCAATACCAAATTTAGTAAAATTTAATACATTTTGTATAATTTTAGTACACATTTCCAAAACCACCTTAATATCTTAACCTCAGATACTAACAGTGGCCTCAACATGGAATTTTGAAATTCCAGCTCTATCCCTTCTACCATAACCAACTTTAATACTACTTTCCGTACTTTTCGAAAAATTTTTTCTTAAACCACCTTCATATCTTAACCTCAGATACCAACAGAGATCTCAATATCAAATTTCAGGATGTTAGCTATATTCTTTCACCCAATACCAAATTTAAAAACATTTAGTACTTTTCGCATAACTTTGGTACATATTTCTAAAATTAAACTAATTACTCTCATTTCAGTTTTAAACAGCCCAGCTAATAAATAAATTGTCATTAGCCTATGTTTTGGTTTTTAACCTTAAATTTAAAACTCTTCAAATTCAGATATCTAACTTGCAATGCTCTCTCCTTCTTACCCAACTCGTTTAGTTATTTCGTTGTGTTCATCAAGTGATGATGTCGGTTGGGGTGCTCCGTGATTTTTTTGTTGAAACCATTAAATAAGAACTAAAACTTAAAATATATATTAAAAATTATGAAAATATTTAATAATTACTGCAGTATGTGCAATTCCCTTACAAAACATTGAGAAAAAGTGTGAAATATGAAAGAAGTTACTAAAATGCGCGTCTATGGTTAAGTAATCGTTTGTCCGTTAGTTTATGTTAATGTGCGTTCGTGTATATTCATTGTGTACTCTGTCAATGTATTTTAGGAGAACCGTGAGCATTGACAACAAAGATTTAAGGAAAAAAATTGCATCAAAATTTCCATGTCCCGTCGCTTGTTATGAGAGTGAGTGAAACAAGTGGTGTGTTGTTCGTTTTATTCTTCGTTTTCCGGGTGACAAGACATTGTATTCGATGATCGGCATACATTAGATAAATTTGTGCTTTTACAATAAAAGCTTTAGTCCATTAGTTTGGATTAAAACCAATATTGTATAATATGGAGTTGTTTTATAACGTCTTAAAAATAATGCTTTAAGAGTATATTTTGAACTTAAAAACATCAGATCGGAAAGCATTTTTTTATATTTGAAAATAAGTCATCAGTGTTGTATACGTCGGTCAGTTGACAATTTTGGATTATTTTGCGTGTGTCAAATCAATTTAATAACAATTGAATCTATATGGAGCTACGAAAAGTTCAGAAAGGTAAGCTTTTTTGAGTTTTTTAACTTTAAGCTCTATTAAGGTGAGGGTACATATGCAGCTTTCAATCATGGCTAGGCATATTAATGGCAAAACACAAGGGGAAACGACGGCAGGATTCGACTGCGACTCTGGCATCCCTTTATGATATGTCACAAAATATCCCATGCGAAGACTTCAAGTTGCCTATGTACCCACATCCTGAGACTAGTCATCTGCACTTGTCTTAATAATCGTTTTAATATGTTATCATCGGCAAATTTACAAAACCAAAATTTACAATAGGTGTTAGGATTTTTATTTTTTGTTTGGTGGAAACGCTACAATGCAATCTCTTTCTTTTGGTGCCACAATTCAGTCAAAATAAATACATAATTTTTTATGTGTGTGTAGTATTGATTCAAGTAATACAGACATGTCAGTATTAAGAAGGTAAAGTCATGCAATCATATGTTTGCAATTTTTTCATTCATGTGACAACATCTCATTGTCAAAATTTATATTTATAAATCTATTGATTACTCAAAAATTAGATGGGAACCTGTTTTTTATTCAGTTTTCAATTTGACAAGGTGAATTACAGAAAATACTGAGACGGAAAATAAATGACT